ACCAAGTTGGGCATTCATGGGACAGGCAAGGAAATCATCTGATATGATGTTCGACAGCAGTTCTTTTGGAGGTATGCTTGGACTGGCTATTACAGAAGACTCTGTGCATGCTTTCTGGCCTGGGAAACCAAAGCATTCCTCTCCTCTGCCCATTTTCACAGCATTTACTAAGCTGTCTGTTTCTGCAGAGAGCCAGCAAGACCAGTTCAGGTCTACTTCATCTCGCCCATCAAGGAGTAAATAATCATAGAGGACCAGACCTCGGCCACTGCATCATTTTTCTGCAGCCTCAGTGCAGTAAGGCAGCTTTCTGCATTGCTGTCAGCATCAAACCCTGAAGAACTCCCTCCCTCTCAGGCCTCAGGTGTTGAGGCCCACCTAACCTTGTGGTGCTCCTCACAGAAGGCCCAGCAGCAAATCCAGCAGTTGTCAATTTAGCAGATTTGGCAATTGGGCGGAATCAAAATCTGATTTGTGTACAGCCAGGAGAAGCAGTCTGCAGGACCTTACCACAAAAAAAACAGACTGAGGTATATCTGCCTTACCATCTGAGAGAGAGACTGGCCCTTCCTAGAAAATTTAGGATATTGAAACCTTACTGTTTTCATTGGTGTTTGGTACAGTAAGAGACTAGGGCACTGGACCAAGTAGGAAGAAAAGAACGCAACAAATAATGATGAATAAACCAGTCTTTCTCAGCCAGTGGTTTCCTGGGTTCACAAGTCACATGCTTCACAAGAAAGCTGCAGACCTGCTGTTTATGCACATTTCTCAAATCCCTCATGTGTCATGTCCTGAATTATCCTCAGAGGAAGGTTAGCAAGGATATATTTTGGGGGGTAGCTGACAAATGCAAAACAAGACAAGGATTTAATATATGCTTCAAGACAAGGATCTAAGAATGCTTCCAAAGACTCAGTACTACCCCAGAATGAATCAGTCTCTCTACCTACTTGCAAACAGACTACACCACATTTGTCAATGTTACTTCCACCTTCCCAGGTTCTGGCATGGATGCTCCAAAGCCCACTTCTCACCAGCAGACCTAGACTTCAAGATTCACACAGCTCACCTCACTGCCAAGGGCTGCTGGCCAGGGCTTTCCGAGCTGCAAGCCTCTGCTGGCAGAGAGGCCTGGAGCAGCAGGGAATGGGTGCCCTGCAGGGAACTCCAGGGGCCAGAGAGGTCCTGATGCACTATCTGCATAGCAGTAATGGGTGCTGCATGCCACTGCAGATGGAGAAGAAAACTATAGATAAATAATTTTTCTTTCCTTCTGTTGAGAAAGCAGTTGGAACTTCATTCACTGCAGCCCTTGGCTCAGGTAGCAACATCAAAGAAGTGCTACTCTCTGGAGACACTGGGCAGTAGCTCACTGCCTGTCACCACACAGCATATGGAAAATACAAGAGGTTGCAGTGTCCTGAGTGAAGAGTTTCTCAACCACAGGTACTCCAAGTCCTGAACAGGCCTCCTGCTTCATGTAGCCTGCAGAGGAAGTTTTTGCTTGAGGACATGGTTCACCATTGCTACAGTGAAGTGAGTCACATGGGAGAGCAGAGGACCAGTCTTCCAAAAACCTCAGCACCAGCGACACTGTTTGCAGTGACACCAAATTAACATCAAGGTTTTGCTGCTGGTGCTCCTTGCTGTGGGATGCTGGAGGACTTCATCACACCATGCAGGAGTTACAGCAGCATGCACACAGAGAAAAAGGCTGAGAGCTGTGGCCAACAGCCTGGCCAGAGGGTGAGGAGACAGGGAAGGACCGGCTCTTGATGCTCTCTAGAAAGCTCAGACCATGGTTTTGGGAAGTCAGTTTCTGAGCAGGTGCCTCAGTGGTTGGACAGAGGGCATTGTGTGCCACCCAGCTGCAGAGCTGTGTGGTGCTGAGCAGGGTGCTGGGAGCAGATGGGTTCTGGGGAGAGCTGAGCAGCAGAAGGCACATCCCAGACAGACTCTCAAGCGCTTGACATCCAGAGAAACTGAGCCATAAGGATTCAGCCCCATGAATTCACCAGGCTCACATGCTCTACGAGGCTGTGACATGTCAAGAAGCAGATGAAGAAATTATTCCGAGCAAGTGTATTTTTCTCCCATTGCCCCGCAGACAAGCACATACAGATAAAGAGAGACCTCTAGTGATGCTGGAGGGACTTTGCCTGTCCTCCCCCTCCGAGCATCCCTCACAGCCAGAAACAAACAGCTCGGTTGCTCTGACTAGTGCAGTAATCACTTTCCTCCTGAGCCAGGGAAAAACAGGGGCTGATCATAAGAATATTTGCTCAACCACAGAGCTGGAGAGGTGCCACTCTGAAAAATGGGCTCAGATCTTGGCCACCTCTGCTTCTCCAGTTACAGCCTCCCGAACTCCAGCATGGTCCCAGGCATACACTTCAGCAGGCATGTGGAGAACAGCAATTGCCAGGGCCAGGAGATGTTCAAAACTGCAGCCCAAGTACACATGTGGCTGAAACTTGCATCTGGTAGGAGCGGGAGCTCAGCTGCTGGCAGCTCAGCATGGCTGGAGGCAGGAGCAAGGAGCAAGTTGTGGCTGAACTGTCACACCAGGAGACACTGCATCTCCCTCACACAGCTCTGACAACTGCAGCATCACACATGCAGCCACAGGACAGAACAGCACTTCGGTTCTTGTTGTATTCAACCCCAAATTCCCAGGGTACAGCCACACAGCGGGTGATGGACTGCATGTATGGGTGTGTTCATGCCAAGCTCCCCATGCCCAGCACAGGGAGAAGGCAAGCAAACACCACCAACATTCACCATTCACCTCCTCAACTCTGCCCAAACAAGGACAGGACACAAAGCCAATAAAAGAATTTTTAAGTCTATTCAGACAGCAAACTACTACGTTAAGCTTTCCAGGTATGAAAAGGATTTGAGAGGAAACACCAGAAGAGGCACAAGCTAGAGGCACACCTGGCTATGGCAGAGGCACACCAATTGTTCTACGCAAAGTGAAAAGGCAGACAAATATAACTTGTCCTGTATACCCATAGCAAGAAAAGAAAGGAAGAGCTCCTGCCACCTTCTCCTCAGTTCAGAGCCTTGATTGCTCAGTGAACAGCTCCTGTACTCGCTGCCTTCCACTCTACAGTCTCTCCTGTTGCCCAGCCAGTCTGTAAATCAAGAGGGAGCAGCTCTTTTCCTGGACTTCTTTTCTCTTGTGCTAGTCCAAGCCCCGGTGACCTCCTGCTGGGAGGAGGGGGGCAGTTCACTGGGGCTGTCGTATTTTGCTGGAATGTTTTATTTTCTGTGCTGAATGAAGAGTAATTGTGGAGGGGAGGGAGAGCGCAAGCACAAGAAAGTGTGTGCACTGCCAGCCAGGCTGATGTCCTTGTCCCACAAGGTTATGGAACCATTTTAGCTCAAATAATAATAAAAAAGCCTCATAGAAGCAAGGGATTCATAAAACAAAATATGAGCTGGGCATTTGGCAGCAGCTGCCCACAGAGTGGGAAGCACACACTGAAGTCTGGAGGTAGACAAACTCTGTACCCTCCCAGCAGCTCTGCAATTTCAGGAAACTGGCAGGGTTTATCATAGCACAGGCATGGATGTGCACACATGTAGCAAGAGATAACTGCCACAAGCCCGCTTGCTTTCCTTGATTACTTAACTAATGTTATTTCAGATATTCAGGCCCACAGAAGTGAGAGGCATTCAGACTAAGGAGCACATCTGACCCACATGTGAGCAAGGTGAGAGCAGCTTGCCCAGGGAGATCCCCCTCTGCCCCGCTGGGTCCCAGCACACTACACAGGCACAGCAGAAATGCTGCTTCAACTACTGCATGAGGCACTTTGCACTGAATGTTTCTTTCCTATTTAGAGGACAAACATCAAGAAGTACAGAATAACAAATCAGCCTACACCAGAGACAGAAAAGCCTCCCCTCCTAGAATTCAAAAACTATGGGGACTTGCAAACTTGGGATGAAATCCCAGGAGATATATAAATTCTTCCAAGTGGTAAATAAGGCCCTGAGGATCAAATTCAAGACTTTCTAGAAAAAAAAAAAAAAAAAAAAAAAAAAAAAACACACACACACAATTGTGCATTGTATTTTGTTGAGCTACAATAATGATTACTATTTCTTTGTTGTAACAGACCAGGCACACATGAAGATTTCCTGACTACAAAGGCTATGCTGCTTGCTGATCTCTAGTCTGTCAAGACAGACATTTGGAGCAAATTCAGAGGGACTGGGGACAAGTTAGGACTACCTGGTACTTTGGAGGTTAATAAGCGATGGGTTAACAAAAAAGCATACTGAATAATATAGAAAAATCAACCCATGTTGTTAGAAGACAACATCTATTTCTTCCTGATGGGTGTTCTTCCATTAAAAAGCCTACAGTTAGCTATGAAAGCTGAAGGCAGGATCTGAGCAATCAAGTGGGTTTTGAGTTTACGACTCAGCACAAAAACTAGACTAATGACCAGCAACCACCAGCCTACACTGGAAGCAGCTGTGCCCATCAACTCTCCAAGGTCAATGATTCAAGACCAGAGAAAACACACCATAGGAACAAATACAAAGAGAGCATGAGGACAAATCAGAAATGCTTTACTGAAAGAAAACCAGCTATGATTAGTCTACAAATAATCTTGAGCAACATTACAAGAGAAAGAAACATTACCAGGACTTGCAAAACAAGGATGCCATCTTGAAGAGGCCACTGATAAAGCTGAATTACAAGGAGGTGAAGGCAACAACGTAATCTGAGCAGGAATCACAAGGATTAAATTGCTAATTTCAGCACAGCTGACAAAAAGCTTTGGGATGCCAGGATGAGAACTCTCCAAAACACTGTTTGATGCATTTTTCAGGGACTAGGGGCTTAGTAGAGCAGTTGCAAAAGTCTTGGGCTAAATTTAACAGTATTAGCAAATCCATGCCAGAGAAGCAGTAAACTTGAGAGACAGAGAGCAGCAGGCATACCCAATGCTGAGGGATACAAGGCCACACACACTCACCTGTTTGCTGTCTCCAGACCAACTCCAACTGGTGATCCATGTCAGCAAGCAGTGAGGATGAGCTGTTCTTAAGGGAGAGTGGCCCCAAAAGCAGGGGTAACACAAACCCAGGCAGTGTCTGGACAAGGGCACAGTCCTGTAGCACAACAAGCAGAGGCATGGCCCATTGACAGGCCCAAGCAAGGCAAAGCAGTGAACCTGGCCCAGCAGCCATCCAGGGAGCATGACCTGAAGCAGCAAAACATGGGGCTGAAGTGACCGCTGCAGTATTGGTGTGGGGTCTATCTAGAAAATAAAGCCAGAGACACAGCTAGAGACCTATACACCTACAGCAGGGCTAAAGAAGCAACTACAGCCCCAGGCTGAGCTTAAATGGGCCCACAGGCAGAGAGAGGGTGGGGTGCCCCAGGTGAGACCACTCAGGGCAATTAAGGCCTGTTGGTGCCCTCAGGGCTTGGCCAGTTTTGCTGAATCTACAGTTGTTCTTCACATGGGGTAGGATCATCCACTTAGGGAGCTGATGTGGCATCACGTATCCTCGCTAGCTGTCTCTTAGTGACAGCCTTCATTAGATGCTCCTGTAACATGTCTGCTTGAACTCAAACACAGGGGAAGATGTATGCTCAGTCCCTGAGGAAAGGATTTAACAATATTCATGCAATAACACTATAAAACAAACAACTACAAAGATATGTATATATATATATCCCCTCAAACTGAATTAAAAGTAATACTACTCTATTTCAGAGAACCACAGAATGGCTGAGGTTGGACAAAATCCCACTTGCTCCAGAAGCCCACAGTCCGCTGGCCTATGTCCCCATTCTGACACCAGTAATGGCACTAAATTCCACCACAATGCTCCCCCAGCAGCTGGTTTCTGGGCACAAAGTCTGCAGGACTCTTCCAGATCCACAGAGCTGTACCCCCCAACTACTGATGCTGGCACCCCCACCCATGCCGGTGGCTGCACCACAGGCCAGGGGCGTCCACTCCTGACTCCTGCAGCCATGACCAACCTTCACTCACACACATACAGCCCACGCCTGGAGCTGGCGTGTGGTCTTTGCAGCATGCAGACACATGGGAGAGAGTGTGAATACACAGAGAGAGCTAGGAAAATGCTTCAGGACAAAAAAAAAAAAAAAAAAAAAAAAAAAAAAAAAGTATTGCCATGTTCCCAAGGAAGCAGAAGGCCTCTGGCTCGAGCGAGCCAGGTGAGAGTACAGCTTCCCTCCTGCAGCTCCCTGTGGCCAGGTAGAGACACAGCTCCCCATGGGGTCAGTTAGTCTGCCTTGGGCACAGGGGACAAAACAGGGGGCTCTTCCAAAAAGTGCCTTTTTCATAGAATTATAGAAAGGCTTGGGTTGGAAGGGATCAGAAAGATCATCTAACTCCAACCCCTCTGCAGGGGCCCTCCTCTGGACTCTTTCTAAAAGATTCACAGCTTTCTTGTGCTGGCAGCCCCAGACCTGGATGCAGGGCTCCAGGTGGGGCCTCATGAGGGCAGAGCAGAGGGGCACAATCCCCTCCCTCAACCTGCTGGTCACTCCTCTGTTGATACAGCCCAAGACACAGTTGGATTTCTGGATTGAAAATGTGCACTGCTGGCTCGTGTCGAACCTTTCATCCACCATAATCCCCAAGACCTCTCCACTGGGCAGCTCTCAATGAGTTATTCTCCCAGTCTGTACTCCTGTCTGGGATTGTGTCTTGGCCTTTTTTACCTGTAATCTTCAATTGCGGCCACCCAGAGCAATGCAGCACAGGGGGAATAGGTCTGTTCTCACCCCTGCCTGGGCAGTTCACGTGCTAAGAGGGGCAAAAAGTGCTACAGGATGAAATATCAAAGAGAAGCAGCAGGGAGGAATAGCGGGGAATGGTTTGTTGCTGCGAGGGTGCCTTGTGCTGGGAGCTGCATGAAGCCCAGTCCCAATCCCGATAAGCTGGGTGAGACCGAGGAAACGCAGTGTGTCTGGGTGAGCTCGGGGTCTGCTGCTCCCCTCCCTGGCACCACGCTCTCCCCATCCACCCCACGGGCTCTGAAGGAAGCAGCACAGCAACTGCCATGCCCATAGGCGCGTTGGTCACTTACTCCCCCGCTGCATCTAGCTATTTATTTATTTGATGTAGAAGCCTTCGCGTGCTCCCCCCCACACCCCTCGCCTCTTTTCGCCATCTGTCCGTTCTCTTGGAAATCTGTTCCATCTGACCTCGAGCTGACCAGCGCATCCCTCGTCCCTCCATCCTGCCACGGGCTCCTCCAGACGTCCCCAGCTCAGCTCAGGGGCTTTTAGCTGACTATGCAAATGTCGCCCAGCCAGCTGGTGTCTGCCTCCCAGAAACACATGTTCCAAAGCCCCCCGGACAGCCGGGGGGGAGGAGGGGACAAGTCCCTGTGCCCCGGCCCGGGGGCTGTGCGGAGAAAGTTACTTAGCCAGGAATTATTCAGCAAGCAGATGGGAGGAGGGAGGGAAGGAAGGAAGGGGAGCAGAGAAAGTAAGAGCACGGCGCCTCTGCATGAGCGCACATAGGTGTGGGTGTGTGGGGTCCCAGGTGTGTGAGCATGTGGGGTGTGAATAAAGGGGTGTCAGGGAGGCGTGCAGGTCAGGGGAGGATGTTGCCGGTTGTTTTATGGCCCTTTCCTCCTCATGACAGCTTGTGTGGCATGCAGAAGGGGCTGTAATAGCGCAGCGTAAAGGAGATGTAGCTGGCAGAGCCAAACATCAGGCCCTCAGAAAGAGCCCCCCCAGAGAGGTGCTAAAGCACGGCAAGGCCAGAAGGCCTCATTTTAATTTATTCTTCAAGATCTCTCTCTTCTCCATGCCCTAGCATGTAACCAGCCACCTCAGCTCTCTGGGTCCCCATTCACGCAGAGGGAAAAGGTAGAGATGCTGGAATGGGAGCTGAGGGTTTGGGGAGGACTTTGGGGCTGAACCAAGTAGGGAAGGGAGCAGGAGATCATTGCCACAGCACCCCACCAGGGCTAGTAAACACTGCAGGACACATGCCCAGCCAGAAAGCCACCCGCAGGTACAAGTCCAGCTCATTTGGATATCTCTACAGGACAAAGACTCTGGCACAGGCATTTCTGGCACAGGCATTTCCTGGGGTGCTGGCAAGGAACAGGATTAATGTGATGATAGTTGCTAGGTCTTTTCCATGTGTAAAATTAGAGGAGGTATTGGAGAGAAAAGGCTAAAGCACCCACAGTGCCTCTTGTGGACCCCCTTGGCCAATTTGCTGGCTATGCTGCTACACCCAAAGGTTAATGCATCCCATTTCTCAGGCAGAAAGAAAAGGTTGGGTCCGTACATAATCACACTGGGCTTGGCCTCCCTTTCTCCACAAAGTGCAGAAATTCCTTTTCTTTACCTCTTTCAGGCACACTCCCTCAAGACTTCAGGCTTCTGCGTATTTACTTCAGGACATTTACTGCTAGCATTTGAAAAAGGGGACAGCAAGTCACATTTCACTGCCTCCCCTAGGCTTAAGAAAGATCAGGACTTTGGCTCTTCAAATTTAACAAGATTCCTCTTTATAATAACAACTAAAACTAGAAGTAGCCGAGGTACCTCTCTTCCCCAACCTAAATTTCTCCTGTCACAACAGCAGCTCTGTCCCTCTGATGAGGACCCCCTGGGCTCCCTGGGAGAAGGCAGGATGGCAGCTCCAGATGTAGCTGACAGATGATGCTCTTCCTGGCCATGGGCAAGAACTGCGAGATGGTGAGCTGCCAGGAGCAGCTTAAGGCAGAACTGCAGAGTGTGTGTGTGAGGGAAACTGGAGGTAACAGCAGCATCTATGCAGTGCACAGGAGAACTGCTGGGCAATGGAGATGTCTCCTTTGGGTCCTGACTACAGGCGACAATGAAACCTGTCTCCAAGTCAAACCTGATGGTAGAAAAAAAGCCCGTTGTATGAAACAAGCCCAGGCAGTGCCACATGCTCCTCCTCAGTGAGTTTAGTAGGACACCAACCAAGGTAATTGGGGCTGAGTTTGTTCCCCTAAATGTGCTCAGAGTGTGGGGTAAGGACTGCCACCATCCACAGATGGAAAGGACTGCTCCTGCCCACATCTGTGGCCAGCTGATCTGGATTAGAGTAGCTCCCAGAATATCACAGTGTTTTACAAAGAGCAAAGTGAATGTGAATGGGTATTGCCAGTCCTTAGGTATACGCTGATGTGGTTGGGTTTGGTGTAAGAAAAAAAAAAAAAAAAAAAAGTTGCTCTGTTTTGGTTTGGTTTGGTTGTTGTTGTGTTGTTTTTGTTGTTGTTTTTTTGTTTGTTTGTTTGTTTTTGTTTGTTTGTTTGTTTGTTTTTTACTGAAAAAGAAATCTGGATTATGTTTGCTGAACAGCAAGGCTCAACAAAGGCAAAGTGAGGGGAAAGCACAGAGCAGGTCAGCAGATCTGAGCATACAGCCAGGACTAAGCATACAAACCAGGCTCTAGCTCTGGCACTTTGAATGTGTGCCAGCTCCCATTGGGGTGCGGGTCCCCTCCAGCCACCACTCCCAGGCTCTTCCCGACCATGGTTTGTGGGGGAGCACACTGCTCCCCAAAGGAGAACGGATGAGGCCATGTTGTTCCGTGGTGAAAGAGGTCTGGGGACATTTCAGCGTGTGCCATGCCATACAGCTTGAATTTACTCACACAGGCAACACTGGAGAAGCCCATGAAAGGGCACCAAACCCCATTTCGAAGAGAAACTCAGAAACTGTAAATCAGCACATGCCCTCCGATCCTCAGTGCGCAGCCAGACCCACCGAGTAGGAGCCAGCACCTGGGCCTATAAACCCTCATCCTGACCACAAAAACAGAACTTGGGCATCCACTTGGCTGCGGCCTCAGGCAGTAGTCCTCTCCTCCTGGCTGCCAGCATACACGAGGAGCCCGGGGCTGGCAGTGCTGCTGCCACCAGTGCCACCCCAAGGGAACGGGAGCGGGGCTGTGTCCCTGCCGGGCTCCCGGCCTCCTCGGGGAGGCTGCGAGGCAGAGCGTGGGCGAGGAGGGGGAGCGGGCTGCCTCTCACGTCTCCTCTCCCTTTGTACGTACCTCCCGGTACGATTATTAAACGCAAATTACAAACGATGTGACCCAAGCGATCTTTATTTCTTCTTTCACCAAGTGGTGCCTGCAGGGTCCTGATTCTGAATTCCGTTTCAATTACCGATGCCATTTTAACACAAAGCGGCTTCTGTCTGCAATTACCGGCACCGACGGCAGCGCAGAGGCAGCTCGGGTGGCAGAACACAAAAGCCTGGCATCTTCCGCCTGTTTAGAAACTTTCATTTGCTGTGATTAAAGGCAGGAGGCGCGGGAGGTGTCTGTACGCAGCAGCGTGCTCTCGGCTGCAGCGCTCCGTCGCGGTGAAGTCCCTGAGAAACCAACCCTCAGCGCTCACCTCCACGAGTCGCTGGCT